TCTGAAACAGGAAATAATGAAAATGCTTTTCTGGTAGCCTGATGGATGACAAATCTTGATTGCTTGGTGATGACATTTAGTCTGTTTACTAAAGGTTGTACTTAATCTCACCATGTTTATATTTCTGATTGGTTAGATTTATATCTATGTTGTTCTCCAGGAGCTCAAAACCTTCATTTTATTCCCTATGCATATATGTATGGTAAGTTGTGAAAGTTAGTGAGTTAATATGGATTATAGGACAAATTTATATCTTGTAAATTCCAGATAAGGATAATTAAAAAAAAAAATTTCTGCAGCCATCCAGTCGCAACTCCGATTGATTTGAAAGGGAATTATTTACCTTGCAGTTCTAGACTCACTTACAGAAGAGTAAGCCTCACTGGACTCACCAGAAAGTGCTTTGGAATAAATACATATAAAGATTGTGAATGTTAGGATGGAAAATTAGAAATGGGATCAGTTTTTTTCAGTGACTTTATAGCATGATAGGAATCAGCAGTGAGGTCTAACATGTTACTAAAATTAAGGAAAATAAATAATGCAAGCTGCAAACCAAGAGTTTACAAGGGGATGAGGTTTCTGAATTGGGGACAGAATAGAAACTAAGGTCTTTTATGCCAGTTGGACTCACACAGAAACCTACACAGCCTATTGGCATTGGATGAGAATTCTGTCACAGCCTCAAACAGTTCACTAACAGTTCATGAAGTGACCTTCTGAAGTTACATAAGTGAAAAAAGTGACTTTTCACACAACCGTTACAACATCCCCAGAGTCATATGATCAAAATTCAGATGCTTGGCAACTGACTCATATTTATGATGATTGCAGGGTCCTGGGGTCTGCAACTTTCTGACAAGCAAAATCAATGGGGAAGCCAGATTCACTTAACCGTGTTACTAATTTAACAAGTGCAGTGCTTCACTTAACAACTATGGAAGAGAGCAGAGGTGGTATTCTACCGATTCGGCCTGGTTCTGGTGTTCCGGTAGCGCTGAAGAGCAGCGGAGTCCAAACCGGTTTTCTCTGAGGAGCTGCTCTTGGGCCCACCTGGGCTCCCATACTGACCTTTATGTCATGCTTTTGAAGCGCAGCTGCTTTGCGCGGCCCAGCAGATTGCCCCGCGTCAACTGCTGAAGCAACAGGGAGAGTGCAGGTGAGTTGGAAAGCCTTTGCGCCTGCGGAAAGTGCGCATTTGGCATGTGTGTGTAAAGTGTGTGCACGCATGCCAAGTGCGCCTACCAAACCACACCCACCGAAGTGCTGATAAATTTTTTAAGAAACGCACCACTGGAAGAGAGGTCATAAAAATGAGGCAAGACTAATTTAACAAATGTGATGACCCAGACTATATCAGGAATATAACAAAAACCACGATGTAACTAAAAGTCCTTTAATGCCTTCAACTTGGCTTCACTGTTTAATTGTTCACAGTGGAGGAGTAAACTATTTTCAAAATAACATTTCAAAGGAAAGAAACACAGTTCAAATTCAAAGAGCTGATAACAAAGCAAAAACCAAAAACAAACTGCACTGAATAAAGTTCCATGAAGGACCAGGATAGATAACCAGGTACAGTCTGTTGGAAGAATGCCAACCAAAATAAACGTTCTTTAGGAAAAAAACACTAATTTGTCTCCAGTGTCTGTTAGCACACTGGTCCAAACTCATGCATCTCTCACACCTGCAACCCATGAAGAGGATCATGGCCCTCTCCTCCTGAGTAGACCACGTTTTACCCTGATCCTCTCCTCCCTGCATGCCCTAGGATGGATAGGGGATGGGCCTGGGTCCTCCTCTGATTGCTCAGCTGGTCTCTGCCCTTCCCCAGCCTCCTCCTCCACCACCTCTGGAGCCACACTTTCACTCCCTGTTGGCTGTCCCTCCTCTTCCTCAGAGTCAATCTCCACAGGGGCATGACAACAAATGTCTTATTTAGCAACATAAATTTGGGCTCAATTGTAAATAGCCGTAAATTGACAGCCATTTATACACATAAATATATCTAGACACACAGGCATATTAATTACTATTACTATTTAATTAATATACTCATTACTATTACTGTGGATGCTGTACTTGTACTCTAGTCATTACTATGGAAGTTCAAACTGCTATTTGCAAGTTGTTTTTAATTGTGGATTTTTATAAGCTGTCATGATTCTGTATGAGTTGGTAGCATGTAAATCTAATGAACAAAGAGATCTTTCTGCTAATGGCTTGTGGCCTTTGGGAAACTAAATTCCAGGCAACATTCACTAATCCAAGAGACACACCAAGAGACTGCAGGGAACAAAATTACCTTGTCCCCAGTTATGGGACATTTCATTAAGGGCTTAGGATATATCATACCTGCCATAGGAACAATTTTTCAGAGGGAGAAAATATCTGACTCCCATGAATTTAATGCATATGAAGATGCATAATAAACGGCTGTCTTGTGCATTATAAATTGTCTGGAAAGACTGGTGATTAATGAATGCTTCATTCATTCATTTCTGCTGCTCTGAGGTCTGGCTTAATCTGTTGTTGCTGCTTTTAGAGAAAAAAAAAAAGAGAAAAGCCAACATGAGCCTGGAGACCTTTAAACTGAAATATCATTACACCCCGTCTTCATTCCCAAACAGAAACAGGGCAAACCTGCTCTGGGGTTGATGACACACCTTTAAGTTTCAGACAAGGCTTTAATGGGTTTGGTGTTCAGGTGGAAATGCTTATGTAGCCTTTGGTATTTATTACTTCTTCATCACAGAGTGGAATGAACAAGAAGAACAGCTCAAGTATGCAAGAAGGACACAGGAGGTTACCGTATTTTCTTATTTTTTACAGGTTGCTTTACAGATAGTCCTCGAGTTACAACCATAATGGAGACTGCTCATTACCACTCATAAGTGGTGACAGGTCTAAAGTGAGTCCATCACGTGACTGATTGAATTTTATAGCCTTTTTTGTGGCCATTGTTAAGTGAATCAGTCATTAAGCAGCATTTGCTATGGAGCATTTTTGCTGACAACTGTAAACAAATAAATAAATAAAACTCCAGTTTTCAGCAAAAACTTCATAAATTGTGATGATGTTACCATAAGGCACTGCAAATATCTGTAAATACAGGCCAGTTGCTAAGCACCTGAAATGTGTTCACATGACGGGGCTGTCGGAACTTCAGTGTTTACCTTTTGGGGGGGGGGGTGCGTCATAATTTGAATGGTCACTAAGTGTGACTAGTCATAAGTCAAAGACTATTCTATCAACATGGAAGAACTATTTAAAAAACTGAAATGTAGAAATCAGGATGCCACTCTGTTTTCACAACTGTAAACTAGACAGTGACTAATTTTTATCATAATTACTCCCAGGTATCACGATCTTTTCTGTGAATTAAACCGTCATCTGATAGTACCTAATGAATCCCCATTCATATAAAAGGCTCTTAGGAGGAATTGTGAAAGTTTGGCTTTGTGTATTACACCTACACTTCTTATTTCCAGTTTCCTTATCTTTAACTCAATCGCTGCAGATATCTATTAGGTTAGCCTTCAGGAAGGGTGCAAAGACCAGGCTCTTCCCAGAAGCAATAAGATCAATGGGGTTAATAACAATAGCAATAACACTTAGACTTATATACCACTTTATAGTGCCTTACAACCCCCTCTAAGCAGTTTACAGAGTCAGCATATTGCCCCCAACAATTTGGGTCCTCATTTTACCCACCTCAGAAGGATGGAAGGCTGAGTCAACCTTGAGCCTGGTGGGCTTTGAACTGCCAAATTGCAGGCAGCTGGCTGCAGAAGTAGCTTGCAATACTGCACTCTAACCACTGCTTAAACTGTTAAGCTGTAAAGAGGTTTGTTTGATGCCTGGATGGGAGGGTATTTTTGTTTTTAATATTTTATGAATTATTATGAACTGCCTGGAGCCATGGTCTGGGATAGGTGGCCATATAAATCTAGCAATAAATAAATACATTTTTTAAAAAAATTTTAAATCTTCCCTTCTGTCCTCATTTATTACGGATTGTTGTGAATCACTGTGTTACAGTTAAAAAAAATCTTAAAATTTCAGTGTCAGGGTCAGTCTAAGTTAGACATCAGAAAAGACTTGCTTGTATCAACTCCATAACTCCAAATGTCCAAAAGAAATACCGTATCTACCAGACTAAGAGCCCATCGGAATATAAGCCGCACCCACTAAATTTTAAAAGAAAAAACTATTTTTACATATATTAGCTGCACCAGACTATAAACCGCAGATATATACGTTGTGAAATGAGATATTTACACAGAAAGATTTTGTAAATGTTTATTTACATACCTTAATTGTTTCCAAACGGTGCCTGTAACATGGCAGTAAAACGGCTGATCGAACAAAACAGAAAAGTCATTGATGTTTTTATTCATCCTTCTCCTGTGCACTGAAACCGCTGAAGTCATCTTCTTCAGTGTTGGAGTTGAAGAGCCTCAGAACATCTCTGTCACACACCTTTTCAGTCTCTCTGTCGGTGTCGCTCTCAATGTCACTTTCATCTTGAGGCACAGTTACAGATGAAATTGCACTGTTCTCTCCATGCAGCAGTCCAGCCTTTCGAAACCCCTTGGTGATCGGGGATTCTTTCACACTGCTCCATGTTGTTAGGATCCACTGGCAGACCTCGGAAAAGAATGCTCTTCTCCTGCGGCTAGTTTTTGTGAATGATTTCTCGCTGCCGGTCATCCAAGCCTCCCACTCACCTCAGAGTACCGCTTTAAATGCACAATTCACACTGTTGTCGAGTGGCTGCAAAAACTTAGTTGTACCTCCAGGAATCACAGCTGGAATTGAGTTTGTTCTCTTGATGGCTGCTTTCATAGAATCTGTTATATGGGCCCTCATACTATCCAAAACAAGCAATGATTTTTTCTGATGAAAAAAATCCTCCCGGGCGCTTACTGTAGCACTCCGTCATCCATTCAGTCATTAGGCTTCCTATCATCCACCCTTTTTTGTTAACTTTAACGACTATGCCTCTCAGGAGTTTTTCTGTTGGCATAGTCATCCGCTTAAAAATCACCATTGGTGGAAGCTTCTGTCCAGATGATGTGCAGCTCAAACGTGAAATGTGTTCTCTCATGGCCAGTTGTTTTCACCATAATGGATGACGCTCCTGTCTTATTAACAGTTCTAGTTAGAGGCAGGTCAAACATTAAAAGTACTTCATCCATATTTATGATGTCATCTGGTCTGATGGAATTCTCAGCTAGTTTTGTTTCAATAAATTTGTGGAAGTTTGCAACTTTTTCCTCGTAGTCGGAAGGGAGTTGCTGACAGACAGTCGTCCATGCCCTGATGGACAAATCTTTTTGTCTCATAAATCTACAACCCCATGACAGTCCACCTTTAAAATCTTCAATCCCATTTCGCTGGTGATTGTTTTAGCTTTCAGTCAGATCTGCATGGTGGATACACCTCAGCCGTCTGCTCTCTGTGTTCACTTAGTCCTCAAGAACGTTTTCAAGTTTAGGCCATCTGCTTTTATGACCTCTGAAAGCCTTTGTTGTCCTTTGGCATTGAATCAGTTCTTCACGCTGCGGTCTCCAACATCTCACCATTGATTCATTAACACCAAGTTTACGTGCAGCAACTCTATTTCCTTCCTGGATAGACAGATCGATTGCTTTCAACTTAAAGCTGCATCATATGCTTTTCTTCGTGTACTTTCCATGATGAGGGTGTGAAAAATATTTTGCGTTCGTGCATGTCGTGCTGCGTGCGTCGGGTGGATCAAAAGCTACCTGTAGTGTCTTCTTTGCACTGACCTCTTGCGTCTGTCACATTTTTGCACCCCCTAATGGCAGTTAGCAAAGAAAAATCTATAGATAAGCCGCATTGTTGTACAAGCCAGGTTCAAAGCGTGGGAAAAAAGTAGTGGCTTATAGTCCAGAAAATACGGCAGTTGGAATTTTGTATCTTTTTACTGCCATACATTGGTTAGCTTGCATTTTGCAGCCTACTAGTAGACCTATTGTCTGTTTTGAAAAACTAGAAGACCAACAACTTCTAATTTGTTTCCCTTGTTCAAGTTATCAGTTATAACTAGACATAGAAATATCATGTGTGATGAACTAGGTACGTGCATTTTCTTATATGAACAAGGCACATGTCATTCTTACAGTATAAGTAATGCTGTTTTTTGTTGTCTCTAGGATCAGTGGCCATGATTATTGTAATGCTTGATTCTTCCCTGAATTACTTTTTTTTAAAAAAAGTTATTTATTTATTTTGATTTGTCAATCGCTTACAAGATAACAGGTATAAATATATACATAGTTATGAATACATGAAATGGGTACATATAAGAAAGAAAAAAGAAACAATAGGACAGGGACGGTAGGTACATTGGTGTGCTTATGCACGCCCCCTACAGACCTCTTAGGAAAGGAGTAAGGTCAATAGTAGACAGTCTAAGGTTAAAGTTTTGGGGGTTTGGGGAAGAAACCACAGAGTCAGGTAGAGTATTCCAGACATTGACCACTCTGTTGCTGAAGCTGTATTTCCTGCAATCAAGTTTGGTGTGATTAACCTTGAGTTTTCATCTATTGTGTGCTCTTGTATTGTTATGGTTGAAGCTGAAGTATTCATTGACAGGTAAATCATTGCAATGTATGATTTTATATATCATACTTAGATGAGACCAGAGACAGCATAATTCAAGGTTTTCTAGGTCTAGAATTTCAAGTCTGGTAGCATAAGGTATTCTACAACGAGTAGAGGAGTGGAGAACTCTTCTTGTGAAATATTTCTGGACTTTCTCAACTGTGCTAATATCAGATACGTAATGTGGGTTCCAGACTGATGAGCTGTATTCGAGTATTGGTCTAGCAAATGTTTTGATGCTCTAGTTAGTAGTGTGATATTACCAGAGAAAAAGCTACATAGGATTAGGTTAACAACTGTTAATGCCTTTTTGGCTATGTAGTTACAGTGGACTCTAGCACTTAGATCATTAAAGATGAGTATTCCAAGGTCCTTTACAGAGCTTGGATCATCAACAAGGTCTTGACTATTCAGCTTGTATTTTATTTTCTGATTTTTTTTGACAATATGTAAGACAGAGCATTTATTTGTTGAGATATGAAGTTGCCATTTGTTTGACCATTCTGATACATAGTCGAGGTCTTTTTGAAGGGTAACAGTATTGTCTGTGGTATTGAACAGCTTTACATCATCTGCAAAGAGAACGTAGCTGCTCTTAATGTGATCACAGAGGTCATTTATGTCGAGCATGAAGAGAGTTGGTCCTAGAACACTGCCTTGGGGGACACCACTATTGACAGGTACAGAATTTGATAGGACACTCCCAATTTTGACCATTTGTTATTTGTTTGACAGGAATTCTTCTATCCAGCTATGCAGTTGTCCAGAGATACCATACGATTTTAGATTTAGGAGTAGTTTGTCATGTACCACTGAATCAAAGGCTTTACAGAAGTCTATGTAGATTGCATCTATTGTTTTGCTCTGATCGAGTTGTGTAGTCCATATGTTTTTGCAGTGTAAGAGTTGCAGATTACAGGATAGTGTTTTTCTGAAACCAAATTGTTTATTAGAGAGTAGGTTGTTTTCTGTCGTGCTTTTTTGTAACAAAAAACATGCCATAAAGAAAAGCACAAATCTACCTGTTTCTCAAACTATAAGAAAAAAAGATAAAGATGTCTTCAAATTGAACTCTGCTGTTGATGATTTAATTCATGCAGTTTTCTTGGCAGAGTTATGGAAGTGAATTTCATTACTTTCTTCTGGGATTTTTTCTACTTTGCAATCTAGCCAACTGCTTTGGTATGCTCCAGTGGTCAGATGGTCCTACTGAAGAATGCTAAACAGATCTGACCCAGCTTTTGTTCCTAAAATCATTCACTGAGTCAACTGAATGCTGCTTCTGGTTGAGGCCTCATTAAGCACATTTTCACTGTTCTTCTAGGGAAAGATCTGTGCCAATCCTTCAGAACGCTACTTTGATGCACCTAATTGTCTTCAATAAGGCCTGGACAATAATTAGAATAGATAGATAAAGGGAAGAAGTCTGTGGAGATTCTTAGTCATCCAGGATATGGTTGTCCAAAAAGTACTTTTTAAAGAGACAACTAGACTTTCTGTTTTTTCTTTGAAGACATTTCACTTTGAAGAGCTGAAGAAGCTTCTTGGATGAGAAGCAAAATTTTATCTTCAAATAAAACCCCAAAAGTCCAGTTGCCTCTTGAAAAAGCACCTTTGGGATGATAAAGGGAAGTATATTTATACCTTTTATCCGGATTTGTGGTAGTTTCCAAGAAGATGAAATGATTTAGGAAAGCTTGAGACCCATTATTTTATTATTTTAGATCTTAAACAATATACTGTGTATCAGGTCTATCAAACATTCCAGAAAGTGACACAACTGTTTAAAGAAGCTGTGGGCAGTTGCTATGTTTGTAGTCTTGTGCCCTCTGAAGAACCTTTCTACAATCAAATAAAACATGTTACATAACCCTACTGTGTTCCACTGCAATATTGTCTACATTTAACAAGACAGTGTCAAATCATCCCGTTTGAAGGACATCCTTCAATGTGTTCTTTTTAATTTTTGGATTATTTGTGGTGTTGTCTTGCCTACCATACACCATTGTTAGGGGAATGAATTGCATCAAGCTTTTCTTAAAACACTTTTTTCCCTGTTACATTTTGACTTTCAAGAGTTAATGGACATACTTTATGCAAAGACTGTTACGTTTAGAAGTTAACAATTAAATCTGGGGAAGGGTACTGGGATACTGGTAATCATATTCTGTTGAACTGTATGCATGAAAAAGAGATTTACCCAGGAAGTCCGAAGAATAAAGAGCCTCTGCTTATTGATTTGAGCTGAAGATACCATATAGTTGAGTATGTACATGATTGTTCAAGGTTCAGTAAATGTGACATCAAATGATCTCTTGCATGCTTTTTCCTAAATAAAGTAGAATGCCATAGAAAGAGCTTTTACGTTACATGATCTTGTCTCTTGACCACGACAAGATGAACAGATGCCATTTAGAAAACTAGGCTGATTAAACTAATATTAATTTATGTGTTGTCCAAATTAAAGAAGCATTTCAAGAGGATAGTTTCCCCAGGAATTTGTTTATTCACATTTAGGAGAAAAAACAGCTGTAAAGGATTTATGGTGGATAACAGAATTTGCAACCACATGTTGTGATAATGGTGACTGGTTTATGTTACCTTAGAAGGGCATTGGTGAAATCATGCTGGCTGACTGTAATCTACCTGCAGGAGCAGAAGCTATTACCAGTTTCTGCAGAAGAATAGCAAAAGATGAAGGATATGTCCTTTGTGTATTCTGAGATCCAAGACTCTTAAATGAATAGTTTCCCCTCAAAGATAGTAGACCTGACTCTGCCTGGCTTTCTCTAGATTGGCTTGTCTCTTTCTTTCCCCGCATCAAAGAGGAGGGAGGCAGACCTTGCTTTGATAATACAACAAGCTAGGCGTTATGAAGTGGGATTATTAAAACTATTTACTTGCTGCTGACAACCAGATCTCTTATTTTGAAGGCTTCATTGGCTTTTTCCAACTCTATGATTCTAAAAACATAGCATCATCTTAATTCAAATGGTAACCATAAGCATTTTGATAGATGGAGATACTGTAGATAGACAAAGAAATAGACCATATAATTATAGGGCTGGAAGGGACCTGGGAGGTCTTCTATCTAGTCCAAATCCCTCCCCCAGACAAGAGACTTTATACTATACCATCCTGGACAATCTTTCCTTGAAGACCTTCAGTAATGGAGCACAAACTACTCTAGGAGGCAAGCTGTTCCACTGACTAATTGTTCTCAATGTCAGGAAATTTCTCCTTAGAAATATAGATTAAATATAGATTATACAGAGAGATAGAGTCAGACGTAAATTAAAATGAAATCCAGCATCAGGTTAAGTGTGGCTGCTTATGGAGGGAAGGTTGAAGTATGAAGGTACGTTTTAAGATTTTTCTTAAAGTGTGGCAAAGTGGAAGCCAACAAAACCGACTGAGGAGACAATTCAAGAGGAGGGCAGCCACCAAAAGACCCTGCA